ATTTTGCCAAAAGTAGTGGAACACCTGCCTTTACACACATCGCACCTGAACTTTAATGGCATCCCAGTCTTAATCCATAGGGTTCAATATTGAGTTGGCCCACCCTTTAGAGATATAGCAACTTCAACTCTTCTGGGAAGGTTGTCCACAAGGTTTAGCAGTGTGTCTATGGAAATGTTTGACCATTCTTCCAGAAGCACATTTGTGAGGTCAGGCACTGATGTCAGACGAGAAGGCCTGGCTTGCAGTCTCTGCTCTAATTCATCCCAAAGGTGTTCTATCAGGTTGAGATCAGGACTCTGTTCCGGCCAGTCAAGTTTCTCCACCCCAAACTCGCTCATCCCATGTCTTTATGGACCTTGCTTTGTGCAGTGGTGCACAGTCATGCTGAAACAGGAAGGGGCCATCCCCAAACTGTTCCCACAAAGTTGGCAGCATGAAATTTTCCAAAATGTCTTTTGTATGCTGTCGCCTTATGAGTTCTCTTAACTGGAACTAAGGGGCCAAGCCCAACCCCTGAAAAAAACCCCCACACCATAATCTCCCCTCCACTAAACTTTACACTTGGCACAGTGAGGTCAGACAAGTACCGTTGTGTCCTGGCAACAGCCAAACCCAGACATATCCATCAGATTGCCAGACAGAGAAGTGTGATTGGTCACTCCAGAGAACACATCTACACTGCTCTAGATTCTATTGGTGGCGGTACTTGGAGGGGTGTGCCAAAACTTTTGGCAATATAGTATGTTATATTCCTTGTACTGTTAGGCCAGATTCCCATTGTGCTGCAGTAATTTTGGCATTATATTAGTTTACCTTAACTTTGCGTCTGGAATAATATTTCACAGACTCAAAATTGTGTGTGAAATGGCAAAAAACTATGGTACCTAAAATTTTTTTTATAGGTAATATTTTAAAAGCTTTTACAGATTATCAGTTTTTAGATTTGACCATGAGTTATGGCCCTGGAGTTATTTTCCCTAATTTAAAAGTGACCCAGCAGCCGCCCGTATCACTTTTATTGAACAGCTGAATTCTGGCTGAAAAAAAAAAACCCACCAAGCTCATGGCTGCAGCTGCAACCCTGAGCTTGTTTTGTTTACCACTGCAAGTCCAAGACATTTTAAAGTGACCTAAGGACATGAAATGGTTAAGTTGCATTGTTCAGAATTTGTGGGCTTCCCAAACACAATGCATAATTTGAATGGGTTTTTGACTGGTCCCTAGATTTAAAACGCCCCTCAAGCCTCCTTTTGAAAACTGCGTATATATTTTATTATCTTCCCTTATCATTTACTATCCAGTAACCAACATCCATCACCTCCAGCCATTGCTTTCTTTTCTACTGATCGTATCTATTGTACCCCCAGCACTTCGATTCAAAATTCAGACATGATCCTTATTTTCCCCCTAGACTTTTTCGCTGTGTGGTGTATTTTTTAAGATATTTGCAGAGCTGTTTCTCCTGTGAATTCGTATGAACCTTTCCTTGCTCTGTTTTGAATTTGTGAATCAGGAAAATACTGCATTATGGCCCCTAGATTAAGCTGATGATCATAAATCTAAATATAGAAGATAAATATAAATAAATATTTTTTTTACTGCGATCATCCGCTCCATCTAGTGTCCATAATGCAATATTTTCCTGATTTCATGCATTCAACCTGGAGAGTGAATAGCCTAACAAAATTTGGTTTTGCCCCCATTCACACAGTGTGAATGTGCATGCAGTTTCACAGGACAAGAAAATAATAAATACATGCCTTTTGTATTGGGCGTTATCTGTGCCTTTTTTATTTCATGTGTATAACGCATGTAGTATATTGGGGCTATATGAATAAAGCTAATACTGAACATAAACTTTTATTCATAGTTGTTAGAGGTGAGATTTTAGGTGTAAACCTTTCTGCTCTAATGTATATATATTTCACACATATTTCTTTAAAATTTTGTTTAAATATAAGATTATATTATATTTACTGCAGAATGGTGACTGTAATTTTAGTTATTAGGCTTGTTTTGTTGCTAGAACTATAGTATGCTTAGGATATATCCCCAGATGGTTTGATATGTGCTATAATGAGCCAGCTCTGTTTAAAAACAATTTTCTGTTGCTTAAGACAATTTCTGTTGTCTGAAAATTTGTAACCGGTAGACTACGTGCTTCACTAGTCACAACGTTTTCCAAACACTAGAGGGCATCTGCTCCCTCTCAGTTTTGCTCATAGCAGACTGATCAGGATCAGTGTCCGTCTCGTAACCCTTTTGCTGTTGCACACAAAAGTGCCCTTCTGACATTAGCATTTACTTAAAATCACCAAATTACCAAAACATTATACATTTTCTGAAGCCGTAGGACCTAAAGAATAAAATGAGTGAAATTCCAGCTTATGTCACTTGATACTTGCACATCGGTTTATTGAATCTGTTTTCAGTAAAAAATATGCTTAAATTAATTTTGGTGCCAAGTAACACATTGTAACCTATTCATTTTCCATTAAATTTTGAGGCTTGACATATTGGGCATCTATTTACTCAATATAGTCTCATCTTTTAAATTGCTGGTGTCCTTTAAACAGTGACAAACTATAATACTCATAATTGCCAACAGTTGGCGCTTTAAAACCTTTAGGTCCCTTTCACGTGAACGGACCCTGCCAATGGGTCCACCTGCTCAGCAGGGGGTCTGTGGGTGATCCCTGCTGAGCAGTCAGATGACAGGTCTGTGTACGCTCTGCATAAGTGGAGCAGACACAGCTCGCTTTCCTCTATGGGCGGTCAGACGTAAACCTGCCTCCTGTCCATTTTACATCCAACTGTCATCCAATTTAATAGACTGATAGGGATTGGATGCCCATCGATCCGTTTTAATCAGATACAGGAGGGTATAAATGGTCACATGTCTATTTATATCCAGCACTCCAAAGAGGGCAATGGATGGTCCGATCGGGTCCGCTTGAAAAACTGAGAGACGTACACAATTGGTCCGCCCATGTGAACGGGGCCTTACAGCTCATAAGTTTGTGGTTAACCCCAAATGGTGGCCATAACAATTTCTTGTTACTCTGTCGTGCAAGGTGATACCTTATATGTGTTGGGTGTTCAGAGTTTATACACATGTGTGCACCACGACTACAGGACTGAGGCCTTTCTTTCTTTTTTTTTTTTTTTTTTTTTTTTTTTTTTTTTTTCTTTTATTATAGTTTAATTATGTAAACATTGTTTTTGTACTGAAGTTTATTGCTATCATAAGGGGACTGATAAACGATGTGTTCTGGGTTCTCACCATGACAAAGGGTTTTTTTTTTTTGTGTTCCTGGTCTCTGGAGGGGGGTAAGACAACATGCCACGCCATAGAGCCATAAACGGCCATCCAGATCATTTTCACTCTGCACAGCCACACTTTAATTTACAAACAATTGCAGTAGTAGCTATGAGCATGTTTACATCCTGTTACTGCTGTGCTGTAATACTTCCAGCTATGCTAAATTATATCCAAAAAGATTTTGCCATTTTGGAAAGAGTTAAAACAGTAGTCAGTTTTTTTATTTATTTTTTTTTTACCTCTGTGTCACTTAATGGAGTTTTCTATTCACTTCCTGTCTGGTTGACTCAAAAGTAAGTGTTGTGATATCTTTCTAATGTGAGGGATATCTCGTCTTGACAGCTGTCCCAGGAACAAATGTCCACAATTAAAGATTTTCCTTCTATTCTTGTTCTGGTCCCAACTCAGAATTCAAATCAGGACAATTCTAGAGAGTGAATCTCTCTAACAGGGACACAGATGGGAGTGAAAAAAAAAGTGGGGAAAAATTTCTTCAGAAGGACGCTCTGACTTGCAAACATTTATTATAGATGGGTTGTAGAGAAAAGTTATAAAGGCTTGTCTCCTTTGTCCAGCATTGTCAGATATTTTTAATCAGGAGATCTTATTTCCAGGCTGGGACTTGGAGTGAAAAAAATATATATCCAGTTGCTTCATTGTACTTTTGATGATTCTTTCCAGCCTTTTATGTGATTGTCTGTTGAAGAGAGGCAAGTCAAGTGCCCTTCATATCTTAAGAAGACTAAGTAAAAGGATTTAGGTAGCAAGTATAAATAATTATCAATCTAGGCACCTATTATTTCTTCCAGTTATTTCCCTTACATGTTTTAATACTTCTATTATCACCTATGTTTAATTTGTCCAGATGTTTTAAAATGTGAATGAGTACATTATTTTCCCATGATTTCAACTGTTCAAAACTCTTAGGCTTATCTATTCATTGACTCATCCATAAATTAATCTGTTTTTTTTCATTCAACCAGTGGGTTGAATGAAAAAAAAAAAAACTTTATTTTCCCATTCACACATTCCATGTAGCAGGGAGATCAAATGCTCCCTGCTGAGTTATTGTAATCTGACACTGGGGAGACTTCCCTGCCATATGAATACACTGATCAAGGTTGCAGACTATAGCCTGCAGTGCTGATTGAGCAGGAAAAATCAGACAGGGCATTTGTACAGAAGACGATCAGTAAATCAACTTTGGTGCGACTTTCGTGCCCATACATGTATCGAAATTCAGCTGGTCCTGGCTGAACCAGCCAAATTTTGATCCATACTGTATATGGCTGGGCTTTATTTGTTCCCTGGCATAATGCACAAAAAACCTATAGAGCATTCATATTTCCTTACAAACCTGATTATTATGTATATTACAACAAAGCATTTCTTCTTCAATGTATGATCTAGGCTGTTACTTGAGCTCCTGAGATGGCAGCTGCATTGTATGTGTGTTGTATTATTAATAAATGCAGGTAACTCCAGTACACACTGCTGAAGTCGGAAACCTCAAGTAACTCATTAGATGCGGTCTGATCATAAATTCTTAAAAATGACTTTCCATAATTAATCTGAATTTCAAACGTTTTTCTGCCAAAAGGTCTGTCACTGAACAGCAGATTTGACCTTCTTCATTTTGCATATTTTTTTTTCATCACATGTTCTTGTTTCTTAGACCACAAGATGCTCATGGACCTGAGCATGTGTTACCTGCAAGCATCGAGTTTAGAGAAAACTGTGAGTAGATTATTTAGTTCATTCCTAGAGAGTTATTGGGAAATGACATGGGTTGGTTTTGTTATCATAAGAGCTGTCATCTTTTTCATGTTTTTTCTTTGTTATAGACATTGGATGATCAATGATCTCCATGTAAATATTCGATCAATAGCATTGTTTAGCTTGTTCAGTCTCCACAGTTGGCTATCTGACTGTAATAGCCCAGGGTCACTTTTTATAACAAAGTCTCAAGGTTGGTTAGGGAGTAATCGCTGCAATAAAAACATTTTTATTTTATTTTACTTTTTTGGGTGTCCTATTTGTGTTCTGACATTCATCATTACTTAGTGTTTTTATTGGTATTCTCTTTAGTCATGGCAGAAAGTTGTGATCATTTTCTCTGCTTCATTTTATTTCCTTGCTTTGGCTCTGTAGTCCTGTAAACTGAGTTTGCTGTGTGTACTTTTGATTCTGTAGATAAGTGGCAAACTTTTGGGCTGGTCAACAATGAAAGTAGCACACAAGCAATAAATGACTCGTATTTTATTTATGTCTATGGAGATTTTCAAGCACATTCTGTGACAAAGTCTGTGTAGCCATACAGACATAAGTATTTTGAAGAAAGTGTACATTTTTTTTCTCAAAAGTAAATTTGTCACAAAACAATCAATATGTACAGTTGTGTTCAAAATAATAATAGCAATCAGACATCACTAACCTGATCAATCACTGTATTTGGTAGAAATGATATTTCTACATGGCAAATAATTTACTAGCAGGTGTAGTAGAGTAATAGAAATCCAACAGACCCAACAGTCATGACATGCATGCTGCTGATTCTGTGTAATTGAATCACTAATTGAAAGGGGCATGTTCACAATAATAGCAGTGTGGAGTTCTATTAGTGAGGTCATTCATTCTTTGAAAAACAAGTGGCAATTATTGCCCTTATTTAAGGAAGGAAGGCAGCAAATGTTGTACATGCTGGTTACAGTGCATTTCTCTCTGAAATTCTAAGGAAAATGGGTCATTCCAGACATTGTTCAGAAGAACAGCGTACCTTGATTAAAAAGTTAATTGGAGAGAGGGGAAAACATATAAAGAAGTGCAGAAAATGATAGGCTGCTCAGCTAAAATGATTGCAAATGCTTTAAAATGGCAACCAAAACCTGAAAGACGTGGAAGAAAGCAAAAAGCTACCATTCAAATGGATAGAAGAATAGCCAAAATGGAGCAGGACTCAGCCAACAATCAGCTCTAGGAAGATCAAAGAAGGTCTAAAGTTACTTGTGAGTACTGTTACAATTAGAAGACGCCTATGTGAAGCCAAGCTATCTGCAAGAAGCCCCCGCAAAGTCCCACTGTTGAAAAAAAGACGTGCTGAAGAGGTTACAATTTGCCAAAGAGCACATTTACTGGCCTAAAGAGAAATGGCGCAACATTTTGTAGACTGATGAAAGTAAGATTGTTCTTTTTGGGTCTAGTGGCCGGAGACAGTTTGTCAGACGACCCCCAAACACTGAATTCAAGCCACAGTACACTGTGAAGACCTTGAAGCATGGTTGCGCAAGTATCATGATATGGGGATGTTTCTCATACTACGGTGTTGGGCCAATTTATCGCATACCAATGATCATGGATCAGTTTGAATACATCAGAATACTTGAGGAGGTCATGCTGCCTTATGCTGAAGAGGAAATGCCCTTGAAATGGGTGTTCCAACAAGACAACGACCCCAAACACACCAGTAAATGTGCAACATCTTAGTTCCAGACCAACAAGATTGACATTATGGAGTGGCCAGCCCAATCCCCGGATCTTAACCACTTGCCTACCAGGCACTTATACCCCCTTATTTACCAGGCCAATTTTCAGCTTTCAGCGCTGCCGCACTTTGACAATTGCGCGGTCATGCAACATTGTACCCATATGAAATTTTGATCATTTTTTTCTCACAAATAGAGCTTTCTTTTGGTGGTATTTAATCGCCGCTGGGCGCTTTACTTTTTGCGCTATAAATAAAAAAAGTGCAAAAAATTTGAAAAAAAAAAAAGTTTCTTTGTTTCTATTATAAAAAATTTTTCAAACAGGTATTTTTTCTCCTTCACTGATGTGCGTTGATGAGGCAGCACTGATGGGCACTGATAGGCGGCACTGATGGGTACTGATAGGCAGTACTAATGAGGTGGCACGGATAGGCGGCACTGATAGACAGCACTAATGAGGTGTCACGGATAGGCGGCACTAATATGCAGCACTGATAGGCGGCACTGATAGGTGACACTGATGATGGGTACTGATAGACGGCACTGACTGGCATCACTGCTGGGCACTGACTGGCGGCCCCTGGGCACTGACTGGCACAACTGCCTGGGCTGCACTGACTGGTGGCACTGGTGGGCAGCACTGGTGGGCTGGGCACAGGTGGGTAGCACTGGTGGCCACAGGTGGGTGGCACAGGTGGGTGGGCACAGGTGGGTGGGCACAGGTGGGTGGCACTTCTGGGCACAGGTGTGTGACACTGCAGAGTGGCACAGGTGGTGCACTGCTGGGCACAGGTGGGTGCACTGCTGGGCACAGGTGGGTGCACTGCTGGGCACAGGTGGGCGGAGCTAGTGGGCGCACTTCTGGGCATAGGTGGGCGGAACTTGCGGGTGGCACTGCTGGGCACCGATCATCAGGGCACTGATCATCAGTGCCCTGATGATCGGTGCCGATCCCCGCTGTGACAACTGCCGGTTCTCGGCAGTACTTTCCTCACGATCTGACAGCGTGAGGAAAGTGCAGCCGAGAACCGGCACTTGCATTTCCCTGTGATCAGCGTGTCATTGGACACCGCTGATCACGTGATGTGGTAAAAGGCCGATCACACGTGTCCGTAGGAAACAGCGATCACGGAGATCGCCGGGTGCGTGCCCCCTGGGGCGCGCAGGAGAGCGCGTTCTGGGGGGACGTCATATGACGTCCACTCAGAACTGGCCGGCCGCAGTGCAGCCATCATTCTGCTATCTGCGGGCGGCTACTAGTTAATCCAATAGAAAACTTGTGGGGTGACATCACAAATGCAGTTTCTGAGGCAAAAAACCAAGAAATAGAGAAGAACCGTGGAATGTAGTCCAATCATCCTGGGCTGGAATACCTGTTCACAGGTGCCAGAAGTTGGTTGACTCCATGCAACACAGATGTACAGCAGTTCTCAGAAACAGTGCTTATACAACGAAATATTAATTAAGTGATTCAAAGGAAAGCAAAATCTTCAAACATTTTTCAGTTTATATATAGTGAATGTTTGCGTTTGTAAAGAAGAATACAAACACTGCTATTTTTTTGAACAGTCTAATATTCACTTTTCTTCAATTTTTTTTAGAGGAACAACACAAATTTGTTATATTTTTCTTCATGTTTTGATTTGGAATAGAATGTGTAGTGTTCCCAATGCATTTGTGTGTATGGAAATAAAAGCTATTAGAAGGATTTTGAGCTTTATTCACTTTTTTCAACACACTGCTATTATTTTGAACACAACTGTACATCTGATGAAAAATTCATAAGCAAAGGCTTTTTTTCAGTGAATGGCACATGTTCAAATGACCAGTACAATCAGAAATGTAGACAGCTGCCTATATTTCAGCTTTTCCTGTAAAGGTGGAGTATGACGTGCTTGTTTGCCATGGTTAAAAGTGATGAGTGTCGACTTTGACCATGAGGGAGACTTGTTTAGGTGGCAGGATGAAGCAAGGCTTGGCACATGCAGAACTCTTGTGTATTCATGAAATGCCATGTGGCATTTACTATCGACTTAGCAGTTTGTTTCCATTATGGCAGTCAGGAGACTAGTCAGGAGTGATCGGAGAAAAACATACCAAAGGAAGCAATGCATTGCTTAGAACATGGAGTGCAGAATACCAAAGACAATGGCACACAAAAGAGATGACAGGCAAAAGAGCCAGTGTTTGGGACCAAGGTACCATACAAAGCACAGGGGATCAGAGAAAATGTAGGTATGAATGTGCAGATGGTATTCCGGAAAGACATTGTGGTACAAAATGGTGAACTGAACATGATTGGGCTGTAGTGCAGTGTGAAGCTACTACAGACATTGAGGCGGGAGCTGCTGGGATAGCCAGCAGAGAATGTAGTGAGGGCTGTAAAGGGTTGCCAGAGAATTTATCGTGGAGATGAGGCTGCCAAAGAACATAAGCTGCCCATACATTTTTAGTGAATTCCTCCTACCACATAAACAAAATGGATGGAAGAATCGCCCCTACTGGAACAATTGGTAGTGAGAAACGTTTTTCAGTGTCTCCTTCCGACAGAAGTTGATCAAACAATTGCCTGTCCAGCAGGCACAGCCACACCATGATCAAAATGTGACCAGTCCTTGCTGAACCGTGCAAAATTTTGGACAGTCAGTTAAACTTTGGATTTAGGGGCGATATCCCAAAACCCATGGGGGTAGGGGGGGTTACTAAATCTGGTGAGTGCAAAATCTGCACACCAACTAGTCAGTTTCAAGGTTTTATTGTCAAAGATTAATTGAACAAGCTGAAGTTAAAAGTTGATTGGCTACCATGCACAGCTGCACCAGATTCTGAGTGCACCAGTTTTCGTAAATCTCCCCCATAGACATGGATAGTGGCAAGAGAGCTGCACATCATTTTGCCTAGATAATAGAGTAAGGGCTGCAGGAGAATGTGAGGAAATGGGGCGAGGGATGTTGTTTGTAGTAAATCCTGTGCTATATGTTAAAATGTTACATTTCACAGTGGATTAAGAGAATTTACTTTCTATTTCTGTTTCATTACAGCGGAAGACTCCTTCCTGTCTGCCGTCATCAATTACACAAATAGTTCCACTGTGCACTTCAAACTGTCTCCTACCTATGTGTTATATATGACTTGCCGGTATGTATTGTCCAGTCAGTACAGACCAGACATCAGTCCTACTGAGCGAACTCACAAAGTAATTGCCATTGTGAACAAGATGGTGAGCATGATGGAAGGTGTTATACAGGTGAGCTTCT